ATTATGTATTATTTAGATATCATTTCGATTAACATTCAGATTGAATGTAATAAAGAAATTGATTTTACTAGAAAAATCTTAATATATAGAATCAGTAAAACTTTTATTTTCATGGAAATATTGATTACAAATATTATACTATAGAACTTTATAAAGTAGAGATATCTGCGTTATTAATGTATTATAAAATCATCATCATCGATGCATCCTTGATTACCTCGCCAAGGGTTTCATTGAAAATTCTTTTCGGTGTCAAGGATTTCTTGGTGTTAAATGATTATGGATAAGTAACATCGATCAGTTGCGTGTCGACAAGTAGTATTTCTATTGCTCGAACATGACATCACTTACGACGATCAATCTCTGTTATCGAGCCTCTGTCGCAAGGATCACGCCGTCGATGTAGAAAACTTCGTTATCCTTTTATTTATGAGAGAACTTAGTCATCCTTATTAGCATTTCGCATTTTTTACGCGATTTTCTAGGATCGCAATGTCCAACGAAAGTCAATTTACATTCGCGTCGGAATCTAATAAGAGATTCTTTCCTCTGGTAAAATTTCTCTCAAGTGAATCTTGCTGGTTCGCACTTTATACGTATTAATAACGTAGATAAAAAATGAATCTTCTTATAATTGTGATTCGTATCGTCATGAAATTATCGTAATGTTATTGCTATGTTGTCGCTATCGGAAGCGACAAGTATTCCTTTTCGCGACATACATACAAAATTCGCAGCGACTCTCGGCAAACAGCGTCGTCGAATTCGATAGCGTGGCCGATCTAGGCGCGAGCCGCACCCGAAACTTGGTCTGTTCTAATCTGTCATGTGCCGTTGTTCGGTAAATAGAAAATCCTGTCTGCAATGTTCGCATAACGGTATATAACGGCGATCGTGGCGGGCCGGCTCGTCGTAATCGCGTCGCGACGCCCGCTGTGGCTTACCCGATACTCCGGGCGCGAGTACCTCCGCGTATTCAATCGACGGTCGTACGTGACGATGATACGTAGGTTGTGTGTTACGTCGGCGTATTGATGTAGCCGGCATTACATGCATCGTGTGTTCCTGTATGTACCTATCTCGACGCGCGACGATGCGCGCTGAATGCCAATCGTCGCGCGAAACGGTTCGATACGCGCGGATTATGTGCGCGAATTTCTTCCCGCTACGTCGAGCATTGACGTTGAGATCGAAGACAGATGCCCAGATGGCCGTCTTCGTTTCCTGATGATACCTGAGGAATTTACGAGCTGGAAAGTCTCTCTATGAAAGTCTCTTAATGCCTTGATGAAGATATTTGGTGATAGAAAAATTTGTGTCAGAGAAAAAATGTGAGGAAAGTACGGTTGAATTGAGAAATACACGATGGAAACGCTCTTGCATTTCTGAATATACGTTTCTTTTTTATTTCAAAAATTTCTTATTCAAAAATTATTGAAAATAATTATTTGAAAATAATTATTGATTATATTTTTGATTGTACAATCGCGTATAATCAATTTTTTACGATAAAGTTTGCAGAATTTTTTGATTTCATTGACAATGATATGAAATGAGCTAAGCCTTTATAATTCGATGCATCCTTGAATTTGGGCGTGTCCATTCTCTCAAAGTTGCTGCGAAGTTCAGACCTGACTTCCATCCCTCTTAAATGTCCAATCGTCGGTGACTTTTTTTTAAATCTCTAGTTTTTTAGGGGCCGCCGGATATAAAGGGCCGACTGAAGATGTAGAACCATCTACCTTTGTTCGTGAAGTTAATTACTGCTCGTTCTTCGTGCAGCTTTTATAATTACTTGCAAAACTTGTTAACATAAATTTATAATTCATAACAAATTGTATTATTATATTTTTATTTTATTATATATATATATATATATATATATATATATATAGTTTAATATTTAAACTAATTATAAAGTATTTAATATAATTAGATAGAAATGAACTTAATACTTAATATAGACATCTATTTCTAATCATATTTTCAAAAATACTTTTTATCGTGAGATATATTACAAATTTATCAGTACAATTAAAATTTTAGTTATTTTATATAAGCTCTAAAAGAACAAAAATGTTTGTTTGCAAGTTATTAAATTTTTAAATAATTCTTTTTATATCTATATCATATTGGAGTTTCTAATCAAATTTCTCGACTGTGAAACGGAAATTTTGTCATATCTTTAAATAGCGAGAACACACCTTTTGCGGTGAACCAAAAGAAATACCGCAAAGGACAATATCAGTGATTATTACGCGATTGATTAAAAATGAAAATAAAATTGTATTTTACGTTGCTTTATCGAAAACAATTTTTCACGAAAGAAGAAATATGCAGTCTACACTTCTTACATTTATGAATATGTCAATTCTTTAAATAATCCGATTAATCATATTTAATGAAAAGTTTTTAAGTAGTAAATTATTCGATCCTTTAAAAATGAGAGAATTGAATCAATTGTGAGACTGGATATACTGTTTTTAAAAAAGTTTTTTTATTTTTATATAAATATCTTAAAATAAGTTATATAAATATCTTAAATTATAATTAGTTTTTATAAAAATAAAAATATTGCTACTAAATGAATTTAAAAATATTCAATCTTGAGAGCTTTTTGAATAAAACGATAAAGGAGGAATAGTATCCAAATTATTTAAATAATAATAAGAAAAATATAAGTGAGGTTTTTGGCTTGAAACTATAAAAAATTTTATGTGTGTAATAATTAATTTGATAATAAATAATAATAATTCTTGCTTTTAATACAAATTTATTTTATCTAAAAACAATTATTATAAGCGAGGTTTTATAGTCTCTTAATGTGTTATTAAAATATAAGACAATATTTTTAGCATCTGATTTGCTAATTCCATGACTACGCGTAAATTTTTGTCAACCGGCTAACCTATGGCGAACCACACACTAAAGTCCAGACAGGATACGAAGGATTGAACCTCGTTAGTCCCTAATCGCCAAATCGGAGCTGGTACTTTTGGCATCCCATGACACTCGTATTATTATCTTATCTGGTTAGATCGATTCAAATTTTAATGGTTAATGTTTACATTTTTTAAATAATTTGATAAAAATCCAGCGTTAATAATAGCAAAGATTTGAAAGAAATAGACAAAGAATTGGAAATTTTAAAATTCAAAATTTAAAGAAAACGTGATAGTGAAAGTGTATAAAATTTTTAAATATTTCCCTGTTAAGAAAATTAATAATGAATAAAAGATATTATCATATTAAATTGATTTTAACAATTTGATTTATGCTTGTTTAAGAATATATCATTTAGCTTTTTATTAATTAAATACGTTATATATATATAGTATAGAACAAGTAATAAATATTTTTTAATATTACTTTATAAACGATTAAAAAGTTAATGGAGAAGAATAGTATTAATTCTTCTATTGAAAAAGAAAGAAAAACGTTATAGAGGAAAAGAAAGCAGAAGGGATCCAGAGTTTTCAATTGTCCAATTTATAAATCGATTTCTATCAATTGGAGATTTATAAAGGATTATATTTTGACAATGACTCGATCGTACAATATTTATTAGCCATTAGTTTCTGTTTTCATGGAATTTTATTTTTATAAAGTCGTAAGAAGGTCAAAAATGTCTAAGGAGAATAATCATGAAGGGATAAGGAGAGGGAAGTAGGACGGGTGACTATGTGGTCCGGCAGTCTGGTCAGTCGATTATGGGGCCGAAACGAGCGCCGGAGCGTCTTCCAACCAGTTTTGGGCAATGTCTTCGCTCGTAGCTGTAAAGACGAGGATGGAGAGTTTTGACAGGATTTTGAGGGAAGTATACTGTTTATACGAAACTGAGAAAGAGAGAGTTGAGAAAAACAACGATTGAGGAGGAGAATTGTCGGAGGAAAGGTATTCGACCAAAAGAACGAAGAGACACGGAAAAAGAGAAACAGGATTAGACATGGAGAATGAAAGCGTATTTGAAAGTGAAGAAAGCGTAAATAAATTTAAGTGAAGATTGATGAAAATGTTGAAAAAAATACTTTAAAAATAAAAAAATGAGTAAAACGCGAAAAGGAAAAGAAACGATTAAATAATAAGAAGAAAGACAGAAGAATATAGGAGAGGAATATATGGAGATATTATTAGAAAAATCTTATTAAATGTGACAAAGAAAAATAAGCAAAAAATGATAAAAAATATCTATTGATATCTATTGAACAAAGATAAAAATACACAAGAATAAGAGAAATAAAGTATAAAGTCTAAGAAGAAGGTACATTAAGGAGGAGAGATGTGAATAACATGTGGTAAGAATATAAGAAGGGAAAAAATGATGAAAAAATATATGTTTAAAGAAAGAGAAAAATATGCACACAGAGAAATATGCATGAACAAAATGCGAGGAAATCAAAGAACAAAATATACAAACATATATCTTATTTTTTTAATAGATTGCACAAGGTGATGATATAGATAATAGAAGTCAACCTAAAAAAATATAACTAACCGAGGTAGAAAATCTCTAGACCAAGATAAAGATGGAAGCGAGAAATGGAGGAGACACCAAAAAGGAACCACCTTGACATCGCTAAAGAGGAAAAAGAATAGCGTCGTGCCGAAGAAGATGAACAGCATCACGAAGAAAAATAAGAAAAAAAAAAAGAAGAAGAGAGCTAGTGGAGGCGGTCGTCGAGTTTGAGTTTCGGTTTCGTTCGTTTCGCGCCTGCTCCGCGAGCTGAACAGGAGCTGAAGAGTGAACCTGTTCAGCGACGAGAGATGAGATGGTAGATGGAAAGAGATGGAATGAGAGTAGGAATGACAGAGATCGACGGTACGACACAACCGCGAGTGCGTCAGCGGTGAGAACGAGAGAGAAAGAGAGAAAGAGAGAGATAAGTTTCTTCATGAGAGTGGAGCAGAGCAAAACGGGGAGAGAATAAGAGAGAGGGAGAGAGAGAGAGAGAGAGAGAAAGTGACAAAGAGGGAGAGAGGAAGGAAGAGAGAGATAGAAGCAGAAGAGAAGGAGAAAGGAAGGAGGGTAGGAATGAGGGTGGGAGGGAGGTAGGGAGAGAGAATAATTTTTCGCGCGAGAAACAGACAGAGAGATCAACGCGGGAATGTGATAGAACAGGCGAGAGAGACGGAGAGAGTGTAGCAGAAAGAGAAAAAGAGAGAGAGGAGAATAGACTTGAGGCGCTCTGCTCCCAATAGTGACTCTCGCCCTCGGTCAGTCGTGTTCGAACCGCGGAGCCGCGAGCATCGTCTCTCTTGCTTCGCCAAGGGAGACTTCGGTGTTTATCACTTCGTATGTCTAGACTAAACCAGCACGTGCGGGACGACGGGAAGAGGAAGAAAAAAGTGAGGGTGAATTGGTACGTCAAGGAAGTTTAATCTAAAAAGGTGGCACCTTGATGATTGAGGATTCCGCTTAAAAAAAGGTTTGCATGAAGTAAAGCGAAAAGTGGAATTGACCAAATTTTTGTATTGCGCGAATATAAGAGCCGAAGAAAATAACAGCGGTCCTAGGAAAATAACATTCTAAACGTTGTTAGGGAAAAGCGCAATCGGTCGGTCGTTCAGCTAGTCATCGCGAGGATCGACGAATTGGCACGTGGGAGAAGCTTGCTCTGGAAGCTATCAATCAATGCGAAGGGAGCAGGTCGCAGTGGGATGATTATTCGCTGCAAGATTGCTCGAGAGAATTGTTCGCGTTAAGAATAGAGAGGTAACATATATCGTAAACGCGGCACAATTTAAAACGAAAATTTTTCGAGTTTATTGATCGACTACAGGAAAAATGAGATAAGTTGTCGCCTTTTCTTTTCGATGTGGAGGAGCGCAAAGAAATTTTCTAGGAATCATAATTTTCGCACTAATATTAGCATATAGAGATCAGCACGATTGATCAAGTAATTGTGAACAGTAGCATTTACCTTGTAGATCAACATTTAGACCATCAATTGTGAAATTTGCTTGTCAATGACATTTAATAATCGTTGCAAAAAACATTAGTTTGTATTATCGTTAAGTTTCAATTATATCAATAGTCATTAATTACCATCATTCTTCCAACCGTGTCGGACTAAACTTTCTGATTGTCAGTCTGACATTCGGTCCTCGTGATACTTGAGGAAATAAGACTCGTGAAGCATCCTGATAATAAACATCCCGAAAATCGGTTTAGCTTTACTTAACATCGATTTTCCGATTTGGAAGGAGCGATTCCGAAGAACCGGAGAGCCACAATAATCCCAGCATGATTCGTCAAATGCCGTGCACACCGAGATAAGACAATCCGCGCAAAACAGAGAGGCTGGCATCAGCGTGGCGGCGACGACGGCGACGACGTAGACGACGAAGACGACGACGAAGACGACGGCGACGACGACGACGACAACGACGACGACGACGACGACGACGACGACGACGACGACGACGGTGGCAGCTGCGACGGATGTCGGGTGTGGGAGGACAGTGGTGAGGGGACAAAGGATCAATGGATCTGTAATGCGTGCAAAGTCCGATCGACGTGCACGACGACACGGATACCTAGATACTGCAGATCTGGTCGCAGACGGCGAGGGAGGCGAAAGAGAGGTCGGCGGAGATCCGGCCCAGAGTGGTGGGATAAAGACGAATGAGTATTTTTCGAGATTATCTCTTTGAGGGAAACGTCGGAGCAAACTCTCTCTCGGTGATATTAACGACGACATCAATCTCGTAAAGCGCGAAGCAGTGCATTTTAAGATACGTACGATTAATGATCGAATGTGAAGAAAGCGGAAGGGACAATAGCGTGATAGAATCGGTTCCTCCAAATTGTATTCAGATATAAAAGTGAGGCAAATTTCGCAGCGACGAGGAGGAAGAAACGAACAGGACGCAGCACACAGCACGCAGCGTGTGTGTATGTATGTGTGTATGTGTATGTATCGTCACAGCGTCGAGGAAGCAGCAAAACGTCGACGGAGGACGCGAAGCTATTGCTATTTTAGAGCCCGCCAAATATCTTGCCAAGGTGGTACCGCGTTGACTGTATGTGTTCCTCTTTCTCCCAGTTTCTCTTTCGTGCTTCCCACGAGTGTTCTTCTCTCTCTTTCTCCTTCTCTTTCTCTCTCTCTCTCTCTCTCTCTCTCTTCTCTCTTCCCGGCTGATTCTCCCTCATGAACGAGCGGCCGATTCTGCGCCGATGACGCATGACACCAACCAAAAGCACTGCGACCTGTGACAGGTAGGAGTTGCATTTCTCTTTTTTTTTCTTTCTCATTCTCTCGCGACTTTGATCGCGTGGTGACCGTAAGAGCAATGACTCGTGATGCTCGACAATGGGGGTTGCGATGGGTTCGGGGATGCTCTTTCGAAGGGTTGATCGAGACCGTGAGGAACTAACGCATTCCGCGGTTGACTTACATCCGGGGCGAATTACTCGTTACCCCTTAGGCTACGGTAACATGAGAGAAAGAAGGATGTAATTCGATATTGCATCAATACTTTTAATTAGTAATCATTGTATCTAATTCAATCTTATTATATTTTGCTTTTGTAAGTGTTTGCAAAAAATTACGTAAAAAATGTAAAGCTATAAACATATATTTATTATATATCTCTTCTCTCACATTTATGCAATTGTATAACGTTAAAATGGATTTAATTCGATAAAGCATACTAACTTTTTCTTTCTAATTTTGTATCTCAATCAATCGCTGAAAGTAACATGTCTGATACCGCGTACGTTTCGGAACAAACTTCGAGTATGGATGCTAATTCCGACGTATATCGAGATTATTTTTACACGTGTTTCGCATACTGCGTCATTGGTGTCTCTCAACATAACATCGCAAATTCTCTTTCTCATATATTAAATATTTTTTACAATAAGGGAAGCACATTTACGTCGGGAATTATTATTTATGATAATTAGATGAAAAACTTTGTATTATTATATACTCGAAACGCGATTTTAAACAATAATTCGAAGCAGCTGCTATCTCTTGAAAATTTCTCATCGATCATCGATATCTACGTTGGCGATATTCCCGTCATTCTGTCACAATGATGCATCGAAACGTAATATTTTTTAATAATATTAGCCATCTTTAATAATAACGTCAGCAATGGGTCAATAACTTATCATAAAATGTACATACGAATTAATCTATTCCAACTTTTGTTTTTTTATTTTCATAATATTTTAGATAAACTAATAATATCTGTTCAAAAATATACGTTTCTAATAAATTGTGTTAAATTAATCTATTAAATTATGAAAGTGAATAAATAGCAATGACTAAGAAATAAAGTGTACAAAAGAAAATAAAAGTAGATAATAAAAGTATGCGGTAAATATTGCGAGAAATACGATTGATAAAATATTGATTGATAAAAATTTATTAAATTTATTAAATTTGTCAACTCGCGCGTGTTAATTAATCAGACTTATCGCGATTGAAAATGCTTTTTATTTTCGATACGTACAGAGTGAAATATCTTGGCTATTGATACGACGACTCATATTTGCATCATGGTTTATTTTATCGGCTAGTCAAGCTCGGTCCTCAGAAATTCGTGTTTTCTGTCGCGCATGGCTATGGCGCATGGACCGGACGTCGCTTGCCATATCTCCCACTTGGGCTGAATTATACACGAGGGGGATAAAATTCGAGATTGCGCGATGCGACGCGACACGCTCGCTCGAGGGACCTTCGAAAATTCTCAGGAACGTGATCTGTCGTCCTGATGAGCGCCGATTAACGAATAAAATTATACGTGCACCTCGATCGATTGAATAAATACGAAAGGCAATAAGAAAGCCTGTTCTCTCGGTTCATTTATACGAAATATCTTATTATTTGCGACGATCTGATAAGGGGAATCGCTTTGGCGAATTTGTAAGTGGATTAAAAGAGCAAAATGAAGGCTAAAATATGATCTAAAGATTTTTTTTTATCTCGAAGCTTTATGGAATTATTATTTAGAAATCTCGATTATGACTACTTTAGATGAGGAAGAACGAACTAATGACATTCCACGAATCCCACGGTGAGAAGCAACAAAAACTTGGCTTCAACTTTGTATAATTGACACTGATTGCGAAAGAGAAACGTTCACTTTTCAGTTTCCTTCTTGCGGGTTTTCTCCGCTCGATGATTTTGATGAAAGAAATCCATCCACGAGAGGATACATCAAAATAATTTATAAGCTTTCTTCGGATCAACTTTATAATTTAATATTTTCATCTGTATAAGATTATTGTATTAAACGTGCACATCCATTAGATTATAAACATTCTAATATTTACTTACTATAGTTAATTTAAATTATGCATAAACTCTAACATGAAATTCAATTTAAATTGTGAATAAAACATGTATAAACACATTAATATGATAAAAAATGCAATAATGAATGCAATAATATAACATTTAAATATCTCTTAAAAATAATCGAAATGTCGAGTTCGGTATTTCCAGAACGTGAAATAATTATCGAGTGGTGAACGCGATTTGACGAATTTTTTCCCTGGTCCAAGTATCGAGTGTGATTGATGGATATACATAATCATAGTCATGTAGCAAAGTAATAACTCGGATCATTATGCTGTCACTTGCCACAGATATACGATTTGCATAGTCACGCGACGCGAAATGCGAGCATTTCAATGATCGACGCAAATTTCACGAGTGCTTCGATTATAAATTTAGATGTTTAACTTGCTCGCTCGTCGAGTAACAAGTTTGGTTTAGTTTTAAAAATATTCTACACCGATATATTTACGCGTATATTATTTATTATTAGAAAACAACGAACGCGCTGTATATAAATCTCATCAAAGGTTTATACGAGTAAATTTTAAAGCTCCTTTCATACGTGAAATTTATGATCATGATTATGCAAGCACCGAGTGCGTTTTTGATATTAAAATATACATATATGCTAAAGACATATATATGTATACATAAGCTAAATGTTATGTATATATTTTTAATATCATTTTATCACGCTACATTCTAGAAGTTTATTTTGATATTACACATTTTGTACGCACTTGTATATAAAACATATTAGTATATACCTCTATTTTGCTCTAGAATAGGTATCCACTAATTGGAATAATAACCTTAATCTCCCACGCAATTTTTATCATATCCGAGAAACTTACGAAACGCCATGCTTTATGTACATCTCTTTACTTATCTTACTCGTAATATCATGCTTGAGTAGCGCGTTAGAGTCCAGACGTTAGCTAAGCAAATATTAGTCGTAGAAACAAATAGATATTAACTACATTATGCTAACGGATTAATGCGCCCGCGAAAATGCGTCGCTAATTATGTCTCTAAGTTTTATAGATAATATAATATATAGTTTTATAAAACGGATTCTCAGAAATAAGTAAATCTGTCAAAATTGCAAAAACGGAATTTTGCATCATAATATTTTCACACTGTGCTGATATAATATTTTCCAATATATTTTCAACAATGATAAAAATGCTATATTATATTTTTTATTCTTCTTAATTTATCGTATTATTTTTTTATATTTTCGAAACTGCTGAAATGTGTGCTGTATTTTATTGCGATTATGTCTTTGATTATTATTGCGACATTTTGATATTAAGATCAGCATGTTAAATAAATAATTAATGAGATTAAAATATCGCAGTAATTATGGTCCGAATGACGTAAATTGATTTTGACTTAATTTTATTTTCATCTCTTATCGGATTGATAGCAATTCTGCAGTCGCAGTATATTTCACGAATCAGTTTCTACCGTGAAAATCCATCGTTTTGATTTGTCGGTGGCACGGAAAAAAATGACATGACTGTACACTTTCGCTTTCATTAAATTAATGTGTTGTAATTTTATAAATACACATTTTATAAATACACTCTCACATTAAACCGGTTATCGATATCGCCCGCATGCTGCGTTTATTATCATTCGCGTCCCGGTCCGAGCAACCTTTGAATAATTCTAATTCCAAGAATACGCGCGTGATTATGTCGATACTCAATTGCTGAGTGCATTTTCGTACATACAATACATATATTTTCTCTTTACGCAAGCGCGAAGCTTTAATCTGAACACGAAGGTTATCTATCGCGCTCCGATTCTGTCCGAGAAACATCAAAGAGTCAAGCTGATACTTTTACTATCGCTAAAGGCGGGGATAAAACATATCTATCAAATATTTGGAGGCGATTTATAAAGCGGCATTGATACGATTTGATCTTTTTCCTTCTTAAAATATTTCATATTTAAAAATATAAAAGTAGGCATAAAAAAAGAGTAAGCGTAAGAGAGTTACTTCTTATAAAATATGTATATACACATGACGTAAATGAGTTAACTGTACAAGAATAATCAGATGATTATCAAATAAATAATGAAAGGATTGGTTGAAATGATTACATAAGAGGAAGTGATAATACAAGCGGATTTACAGAGCAAGGTTTAATATCCTCTATACGGCCTGGCACACACAGGAAGACACGCGGTCACGATCTGCAGTCGGAGTCCTCTGCAGAGGAGAGTCGACACGCCTCGTGCCCATTACACGATCCATCGATCGTGATAAAATAACGAATTGCCAATATCGAAGCCGAATTCGCTCAGTCGTTTGCTCTTCGTATAAGAACAGCTGATGGGCGGTGATTTTGCTTTGATGCCCGCTCGCTTATCGATTGACGGATTCGAGCCATGCAACCTGTCCTTCATTATCCAAGTTATGATCAAATGAAATAATTCGATTGAGTCATGTAATCCTTTACCTTGTTTCTGCTTTTATGCTAATAAAATTTCACAATTTGCGCTTTTAAATGTATTGTAAATTATTTGCATAATAATTGTGAATCTCGATAAATATGTTTCGCGTTTTTTATCTGATCACAGAGCATCTCTTGAGCGAATTTCTCGAAATATTTGGTGTTGAGATAATTTCGTTTTAAACTAGACTGCTACAACCAGTTACGAGACCAACTTAAACTATACGGAGCTATATAAAACTAAATTGACTCCTTGCCAAGACAAAAAAGAAGAATGTCGCAAGTGTCCATTTGTCATATTGATATTAAGACAATAATAATACTTTATTGATATAGATAGTATATCTATTTTATCATTTATCACTTTATCTATTTGTGTAGTTTTTTTTTTGTTTTATACACATCAATATAAATGTATGGTAAAAATCAACTTTAATTTAAGCTTCAAATATGAAATAAAT